TATTCAACTACTGTTGCATTCCGGCTGCTTAATAGCTAGCTGGCTCAGGCTTTGTTGCGAGAAGTAACCTCAGTACTCGACTACTGGAAATACGCAGGATCTACAAATCTCTTGGCTTCTATCTTTGCACTGTATGCTGTTTTATAGTCTATGTCCTAAAAATGTGTTTTTTTTTCAGCCTGGGATATAGCTCAGTGGCATAAACACTTGCCTGGCAAGTGCAAGGTCCTGAGTTAGATTCCCCAGCACTGAAAAACAAACAAACAAAAAATTGTTAATCAACTATTCTTGTTTTGAAAATCTGTAACATATGTATTGTTGTATGTTACCCTGTTTCTGTCATTATTTCTGATTTTGTTCTTGCTTTTGTCTTTTATTTTTCAAAATGAAATAAAATTAAACTTTAAAAAGATGTGTTTTTTAGAAGGTATATATTTGTAAAAGTAAAGATGTATTCTGTCTGTCAGAATATATTCCCTTTAAACTAGTTCTACAGTAATACCTTATATAAAATTATTTGGCATGTTTTGTAAATAGGGCCTACATTCTTTTTTGAAAAGAAAAATTGTTTTTGCCTCATCAGTCTGCACAACTAATTCTCTGAAAGAGAGCGCATCAAGAATGGATTTAGAAAGATATCTATGAAAGAAAAAGTATTCTGTTCTGTTTCTTCACAGTATTAGGCAATTTTGTCAATAGACATTTTTACACCAGCTCCACATTAACATTTAGAAGTTATGGTCTGGTATCAGATTTAAGAAATAAAACTACATAATATTTCATGATCACCTGTATAAATTAAAATAATTCCTAACAATGCAGCAATTTATCTAAAAAAATACACTAGATAATTTTTGAATATAAAATTTTAGAAGGATAAAACATTGTAGCATGCAAGATAAGTACAGATTTAGAGAAATAGTTATGTCCCTTCTGGAAGCTACTCTGTACTAACAATAAAAATAGCCTTTACTCTAGCAACTGGATATTTTTTTTAAGATTGATTGATTGATTGATTGATTTGGTACAGGGTCTCACTATGCAGCTCAGACTCATAAGTGATCCTCCTGTTTTAGCCTCCCCAGCACTGGGATTACAGGCGTGCTCCACCATGTTTGGTTTTGATGGCTGGCTTGATGAGGGGCTGGCACGGCATGTGGTACCAGGAATCGAACCCATGTCCTTGCACTTGCCAGGCAGGTGCTTAGACCACAGAGCTATCTCCCCAGCCCTAGCAACTGGATATTAACAGAATGATTGTCTGACAATATGTGTATATGAATCTCCTTCGCAATTTAGTGACAGGAAAGAAATGGAAGCAACTTACATTTAGACAGTTACATTTCTAAGAGGCAACTTAATGAGACTTGATCGCAGAGTGAAGCACAAAACAGAGCTGGGGCTGCAGCTCAATGCAAAGGTCCTACCTGTGCAAATAAATTGCAAATAAATAAATAAATAAATCTGAAAATAACCTAAGTTAACTTACCCATTAAAATGTTCACAATCTAATTTGGAATAAAAATTGAAGCCTCTACTCAAAAATGTAAAATAGGACTCAAGTTTTGTGAAAGCTGTCTGTGTGCTCTAAAGAATGTGTGTGTGTGTGTGTGTGTGTGTGTGTGTGTGTGTGTGTTTAAAGAGTGAACATATTTTCTCAATAAAATTATGGAAAAAAATTCTCAATAAAATTATGGAAAAAATAAAAAGTGAACAGATCAAAATCTCACAGCGGCCTGGCCCTAGCTCAGTTCTTGGGGCTGGTGAGATGGCTCAGTGGTCTAAAGCACCTACTTAGAACAAGCTTAGCAAAGCACAAGGATCGGCAGTTCAATCCCCCGGCACCACATGCCAGCGAGCCCCGCCCCCTGGTGGGCTGAGCTGGCCACACACACACACACACATACACACACACACATACATACACACACACACATACATACACACACACACACACAAATAAATAAATAACAAAATCTCACATGCAGAGCC